ACGTAACGTAAATAAATAGTACTACTACACACACACACACACACACACACACACACACACACACACACACACACACACACACACACACAGTGTAGGTGCTGGTGACAGGTGTAGACTGACAACACTAAAGAATGAAGTTGTCTGATAAGCCAAAAAATGGGTAGGTTGTGACAGAGAGCTTGCTCCACAGTTCTAATCTGGACAGAAAAGGACAGAGGTACAATGGTAATAAAATCTTTGTGTCTATTCAATCCTTGGTCTTTGTGCTGAGGCTAACAAAAAGTACCAAACAGACGTGGTGATTTATGATATGATTACTGGTCCACAAGGAATTGGACTGAGCCAACAAACTCAATTCAAATAGGTCAGCAAACATCCTAGCAGAGGATAACTATTTTTGATCAAAATGCCATTGGTTTGATTTGAACTGGTGACTCAAAAGTGAAAGGCTTTCTAATTCATAATCAGTTTCCTAAGCCAGCTAGTGCTCCAACATGTATATGTTAAAATCCTGAATTTTATATTTAAAAGAAAATATTTCATCTATATCTACCTAAATATTTTTCTGCAACTAGTGTTTATGACAGCAGAAGTAGCAACATTTTAACCTTAGAAACCACACCCTAGCTTTGCTATACTTATCTTGCAAAAAATCTCGAAATAGCAGTACTGCGGTTGAACTTCATTTTTTATAAAGATTTTTATATTCTCTTGAGGATATATGGAAAAATCTTTTATGTTAAAACTACTGTATTCTTAATTTTGCTTCCTTGGAAAAGGGAAGTTTATCTACCTATCAAATGTAGTTCTTTGAAGAGGTTGTCTGAACGGAACTACATTCCTGAGAGTGCATGTGTTTTGGACACTATGGTCAGAATTCTATGGAAAGGATATAGTGGCCACAAGGACAATGAGTATGCTCCTTCATGAATATGCACAATTAAGGCAAAGTTGTATAAGGAACTATGGCCTTAGTTTTCCCCCACTTGATCAGAATTTTAAAGAAAGATTCCAAAGAATTGGAGATTGTGGAACCACACCTGTAAGTACTGTTACTGGATGTAACTTTGCTTTCTTTTTCAGTACTACGAGTACAGATCCCCATGTCTGTTGAGATTAATTAGCAATAAAAACCCTCGAAAGAGAAAAGACTGACGGTAATCGTTAAATAAAGATTTCAGGTCTGCATCAAGCCAAGTCAAGCTGCCAAGTCGAGATATGTATGCATCAGATCTAACTGCCAGATCAAGAGATAAATGTATTACTTGAGCTCCAGACTGCCTTATGTATCTTCAGAAATAAAAGTATTCCTGAGACATGCTGCAGAAGTAATTTTGGTCGAGAGACTATGTCCTAAGACCCTCAGGTACTATGCAAGTTTGCATACCCAGTTTGATCTTCTTAGGCAAACTTTGTAGATTGTGCCGCTTCTGAATTTAACCTGTAAGCTACAATGTAGGCAATTTATATATATTTAGTACTATCAAGATAGCTGCTAAGAAATGTTAACGTATTTAAAAATCTGAGCTCTAAGCTATGTAATAGCTTCTCTTGGAAGTGAGTGAGGTTTAGGTTAGACTACTGGGAGGTTAGCAGTTTAGTTAAGATGGAAGAAACAATGTTGGTTAGCAATTTATTATGGCCTTGGTTACTATAGTCCTAGCTTCCTATGCTCCTCCTGGCACAGATGGTCCAACAGTGGGAGAAGTTTGTCCCACAAACAGAAATAGTATTTCATCAGCAATGTCTGATCATTTGCAATGCACAATTATCCATCATTGGCAATTTTTAAATTAAGATTGGATTGGTTTTATAAGATATGTTCTAGTTAAAAAGCAATTATTTTGGGGGCGTTCTATAGGCTCTGTTATATAGGAGATCAGACTAGATGATCACAATGGTCACTTCTCGCCTCAGAATCTATGAATCGTAGACTTGCTGATGATTTGCTGCTTAGCGCATCAATAGACTTCGCCTACTTCTCCTTTGGCACTGATCTGAAAGTTCTCCCTGGTTTGGTTCTTTTGTTGGCAGTTAAGACTACTAGTGATCTAGAAGCAGGATGCCAATAAACAGAAGAAGAGGTCTGTGTAACTTGAAAGCTTTTCTCTTACACCAGCAGAAGTTGGTCCAATAAAAGGTAATGCCTCACCCACCTTGTCTCTCTAATATCCTGGGACCAACATGGCTACAACAACATTGCAAACACTGAAAAAACTTACATGTATATTGGGATACTTGATACTACTTATCTCTCCTCTTTGATACAGCTGGCATATATGCAGTGTGAGCCACAGGTCTTAAGATGGCCCCCAGGAGACCTTTGTTTATTGTACATGTTACTATGCCTTTCTGGTTCAACTGTAACATATTGAGTGATCAGCTAATCTAACCTTGACCCACCAAAAATTCCATATTCAGAGCTTCCACATTATATCCACACAGGACTTTAAAGTTCTAGAAATCATCAGATGGTGTAGTAAAGAAGATCCTACATTTGCATTCAGGGAGAAAGACTGACTCATCTTCTTGGGATCCTGATCATCTCCATTTACATCTGAAGAACCAGAATGCTTATCGATGTACTATGGACTGTAAATACACTCAAAGTTTTCTCAGGAGGGAAAGAAGTTGAAGGAGCTGACTTCTCAGAAATCTTCACCTGGAGACCTTCCCTTGGAAAACTGACTCTCAGTGGTTTTCGCAACAAATTTTTTGGTGGCTTCAGAGTACGACCACCAACTCCTGCTGGTGGCCACTCTGACAATTTTTCCTAAAATACTTAATTAGATTTAAGAAAAACAAAGAAATATCCACATATGCATGTTCAAATCATCGTAATTCATTTATGTGGGTTTTGATTTTGCAGACTCAATAGTAAAAATAATGTACAGTTGTCTCTATTCTTTACTGGATTTACTTAACAGAACAGAAACACAAATGAGGTGCTTTACACGTTCTTGCCTTTTTTGCTGTTGTTTTTGTTGTTTATTTGGTTGCTTTTTATTTTTAGGTGGGGAAGGTGGGGAACTCACCGGCTTCCTGCTCCTCCACTTTGTGTCTCCAGAAGGGGGCAGGGTTCAACCCCTGTTGGCAGCCCTGGGGGAGGGGCCACTGCTTCTCCCCCCCCCCACCCCAATCAGTACCCAGGAGGCTGTGACCACAAGAAAAGCCCCTGGTGGCCACATGCGGCTATGGTGGCCATATTTGAGAAAAAACTGTTCTAGAAGGTAGAGCCTATAAACTCTAATATAGCCGAAGAACACAGGTGGGTAATCTCAGCTTTCAATAACCTAGTTTACCATCAGAAATGTGAGACAGAGACCAAACCCTAAGTTTAAATGAGGAAGGCTAGTCGCTGGGGAGGGTCTCAGATCTGAGAATCCCCAGGTGAGTCTCACATTCCATTGCATCAGGCACAGAGGCTGATCCGGAGAACTCTCAAATGTGAACCACTAGTTCTGAAGAAACATGCGAACTTGAGACCCTTGTGGAGTAATGGGCAAAGGAAAATGGAAAAAAAATAGTTCCTTCCCATGAGTCAGCCACAGTCCGAAGGATGAATAGCATCTTCCAGTGAAACAGACACAGAGCCTAGAGCCAATGCACTTATTTAGCACCAAGAGCGAAGGCTGTAGCAAATCCACTCCTGGGCTGAAATTTTGTAGGCCATATTTTCACTTACTCTAAGGCCACTTTACAGCAGTCTGGCAGTGAAAAGTGGCTGGAGTGCCAATAGGAATCTGGCCTAAACTGACCAAAGTTGGAGTAAAGTGACAGGGAGGTCTTTTTGAACTAAAATAGTTATAAGAAAATGTTTTACTTATATAAGCACCATGGAGCCAAGGAATTCCCTCTAATCAGTTAACTGGACCTACAGAATTGCTTATTTCAGGTTTTTGATCCTTGCGAGCTACAAAATAGTTATAACGGGCCAAATTATTTTTAAAATGGGAAGACATGGGCATTTAAGGAATATCAAAAATAAATCTATTTTAATTGGAAACTTCTAATGAAATAAGTTTGCCAATCCTTTTATATTTTTCTGTTCTGGAGAGCACTTGGAAACTTATTGAGTGGCATCACTGCCAACACATGGACCATCATCATTAACACTACTTGTTGGGATGTGGGGTTTTACTATCACACCGTTAGGTCCTTTCCCTCAGCATGAAGAATAGTTTTACTGAACAAGATGAAGAGAAGGCAACTGATCAGCTCCTAAGATGTGAACCAAAGGTTCCTGTTGTTCCCCTTCCTAATGTGCCCATTTTAACCAGTTTTTTTCTTGTTCATTTGGATAATGTGGATTCAGGTAAAGCATTCTAGTAGCTTTATGTACAACAATGAGATAGCTGACACAGCTGTTTGTTTTGTGTTGCCTTACTCAAGACAGTGGCTAAATGCCACAATCTTTCTCAGTATTTAAACCTTAACACTAAAGTAGCAATGTTTTTTGTATTTACATAGCATGTTTTTATTTTTTAAATACTTAATTTTTTACGTTATTTATAACGTTTCATTCATATGGCATCCTATATAAAATAGAAGTGAGTAGATTATCTCATCCTTAATGACTTAGGGCCAGAACATACCATTAAGACACTAACTATGTAGGAGACGGAGCGAAGTCACTCTACCCAAGAAGGAGCTTAGAGAGACTGTAACTTAGCAGGCACAGTCCCTCCGTTAGATCTCAAGTACACAGGAGGAATGGGCATGTTGCACCATACCTTTAGCTGGCCTTGCCAGCTCTACCTGACCAACTCTAGGATCAGTCTCTTCCCTGCCCACGTTTGTGTGATTTGTGCCCATGGGGGTGATCATCTCTCCTCTGAGTGCATGTATGTCCCTTGTGCATGGGGAAAGGTACAGCTCCTTGCACCTTCTCCCACACCAGGCACCCATGCAATGGCCACACACAATCTGGACTGAGCAATCTGCAATCTGCAATGCCCATAAAGAGTCTACACTTGTGAATTTGAATTATTTCTTACCATTGAATTTACATTTCTAGAATAGTACACATTCCAGATTTCTGTACACTTACAAAGTAGACCCTCCCAGAAACGAAATACTTACAGGAAGTTTGTACCCCTGGTAGTTGTTAATCAAGTCCTGAATGAAAGGATGCTTCAAAAGAATGGTAACTGGAATGGGTTTCAGATCCTCAGAGCCCAGTTCCTCGTATATTTTTCTGAAATGCTTCAAGAAAAAAAATCTTGCTTCATTTATTAGGAAAACTAAAAAAGAATCACTTCATAAAACAGATATTACAGTGTGTATTTCTAAGATATTCTTGCTGAGGGGTTAAAACATTACTTTAAAAATATGCTGTTAACATAAATTACAATGATGTGCTTAATCTAAATGTTGTCCTTATATTGCAACAGATAGAACTTTCTTTAGCTTAACCAACCAACCTTATTATTACTGCCTGCCTTCTGCTGACTACTGAATCTATGGTTGTCACCAGCTTTACTTCCTTCATGATGGAACACTCTTTGTAGAGTTGCCATAGAAATTCTTCCTTCGTCTGTGCAGTGCAAGATTTCTCCTTTTTCCACCAAAGGCTCCTCCTTTATCAGCATATCAGTGTGGGAAAGAGACTGGGGAAAGAAAGCATTTATATATTATGATTCAGTGGTAAGTGGTCTAGCACTTAGTCATACATTTCAGTTTGACATTTATTAAGAATCACTGAGGATATACTTCCAAATATCCATTCTTATGATGGAAATCACCATACACAAACAAAATCAGTAACTGGAGTACATGGCTTTTGAGAGTAATGGGTACCCACAACTCCTGTTGACTTCAGTGGAAGTTGTGAGTACTCAGCCAGGATCAGATCCAAAGCCCTGGTATAGTCATACCTTTCAGAACACTGGAGGAAGTAGCTGCTTTCAAAATAGTCTTAACAATAGATAGATAGATAGATAGATAGATAGATAGATAGATAGATAGATAGATAGAAACTGCTATTTGCTTTATTCTGTTTTTAATATTGTGTTCTTCATACTTTAGGGACTTATATTAGGGACTGCTAGACCAAGACAAATGACAGAATTTTGTAAATTAGACTATAGGGGAAGTCCTCTCCAGGCACTGGGGAAGTTCACATGATGAAGGTAAGAAGGGATTCTTCTACTCCAGCCATTGAGCCACTCCATGGAGGCTACATTAGCCAAATGGTTGCAGTAGCCTTGCCAGGGCTAGGCATGGAAATGGGAAAGGAGAAAGAGTTTAGGAGGAAAGATCAGAATTTTTGGTTTTTGACAGGTTTAGTATAAAGGAGTGGTGGGACATCCATGAGGCAATATCAGATACAGGAACAGGGGAGAGCCCAGATAAAGAGGGAAGGCCGGGAGTAGAGATTTGTGAGCACGAAGGTGATTGATGCCTTAGCTACCTCTAGATTAGACTGCCCAATACACTCTATCTAGGGCTAACCATTAAGGCCACAAAGAAATTCCAATTAATTCAACAGTCAGCCCATTTTTTGATTAAGAGAGATTCCTGAGAGTATATCATATTAGTAGTATGCACCCTATACTGGCTTCCTTTCCAATATAGGAGGCTCAGGGTCTTTGTTTATCTTTGCCCTGAACAGCTCAGGGCCCACCTATCTCAGAGCCCATCTTTCTTTCTCTCTACCTCCAATCAGCAGGGGTTTTGTTACCAATAGAACCCTAGGGCAAAACTCTTGGGACTTGGTTGCTGAGTGTTTTCAGTGAAAGACCCTCAGCTGTGGAATTCCTTACCACACAAAATCAAAATATGTTTGAGTCTGGCAATCATTAGAATGTGATGCAAGATGCAACTGCCTGTTCAAGCCTTCCATCAGCAGCAACATTTGCACTATGGCACAGCAGTATCTCGTTGGAGAACGCAACTGCTGACTGTAAGTCCTTAAAATGCCAGCATAAAACAAATGAGCTGAGAGTATGTTCTGTTTGAATACATGAGACATACTTGGAGAAATGATGCTTCCCTTAAATTTACTATATATAGCAACTAGATATTGTGGAGATTGGCATGTTTGAAACGTCTAGCAGAATAGAGTGTTTTTCTGATTTCTTTATCTGAGTAAACTATTTTTCAAATCTCCGAACTTTCTTGCCTTTTAACTGGTGTCACAACATAACTTTTTAGTTTTAATTTTACTTTTTTTAGTGGAAAGGGGGAAACAAATAAGTGAAAAAAATAGCTAATTAAAGTCTAACAGTTGACATAATCCTTTATTAAATAAACATATGTATCCATGCTTCAATACAAAAATAATTTACTTGATAGACTAAAAGAAGTACTTTTTGGATAAGTACATATTCCAGCTCATGTGTTTAAATCATAACTTCTACTAACTTCTCTTTATAAACGATATCCAAATTAGACACAGATGCTAAAGCAACATCATTTATAATTGGTGTTATTTTTTAAAAAGTTATGTAAAAACAAACTAAGGACTTCAAAATTCTCTTATAAGCCTCTTTACTTCACAGAGTTTGACTAACTTAAATATACCCTTCTACACCACAACTATAGCTCACAGTATATTTTTTATTCCATTCCCCTTGGAATATTGTTGAACATATTGGGTGACATTTCGGACCCACAGAGGTCAGTGGCAAAACTCTTCCTGACTTCAGTGGAATAGGATTTCAGCCATTCACTCTTTTATATATTTAACACTACTAATAAACTGTAGACATAGGCAAAGAAGAACATAAGATGAAGGGATATTCTGAAAGAATGTTTTTCCAGCACTGCAATTCTTTGAACACTAACTCATAAAAATAAAGCTGTTATAAAGTGAAACTGTTTAAAACCTGATATCTAAAAGAAAAATATCTGTCGTGATACTTCTGTGCCCCCCCAACTACACTAATGAAGCACCTCACAAACAATGTAGTGCCTCACAAACAGAATGCATCCCTCAACATCCCTAACTATGAACATATACAATAACAAAGGAAAAGGCTAATTAGAATTTTGACAAGCCAGACTTCAGGCTTTCCTCTGCTTGATACTAAGAAGAATAACATACTGAGGCAGTAGAAAGCTGCCCCTCTGTTTTATAACTATGAATATTATTGTTTTTAGTTATACATGAAGAACTGAGTTACAAAGAGATTAAGTGACCTGTCCAAGGTAACACAGGAAGCCTGCGGCAAAACCAAGTTTGAACTTTGATAGCTTTAACCACAAAGCAATCCTTCCTCTATCTTCAACTAGCAGCCAAATAGGGACAATGTCAATCTTCTTTTACAATCTAAATCCTCCATAAATTCAGTAAAAATACCATGTTTTTTGCAAGATGTTTATCCTGAAATTACAGAAACTATAATTAAAAATGTATTATCATGCAACTATGCATTTGGAAATGTCTACTTTATATTAGTATTAGCTTTACATTTATTTAAAATGTAAACTACTCAGAAAAATAACTCTAAAAATGGGAGAGTGTGGTTCCACATTTATAGTGTCTCAAAGATTTTCATATTAAGTATTCTCACCTTACAAGTAAAAAGTTTTTTTCTCCCTTAACTGCCAGTCTTTCAGACTCTCCCTGGGATCTTAAAAGTTAAGCTGTGTTCTTTACCAAATGTAAGATTCTGCTGGCAATTTCTGGCCTCAGTTATACTTGCGCTCCCTTTCCCAAAGCTGTGCTGGGTCTACAGTACTAACAGGGGTAAAGAGTAGTAAAAAAAACTATTTTTTGTCACAAAAGTGAGAAGATGTGACTATGAATACACATGGGGTAGATCTGCAGCACAAAACAATGCCATTTTTATACAATAACTTTTCAGAGTCAAACTGCAGTTTAAGTAGGTTAAGGAAGTAGTAGTCACTGTGGTTGTGCAAGTGTGGTGAGAGATTTCATCATGTGTACAAGTACAGAGCTCTTTAAAAGGTATGAAAAGAAATACATTGTGGCATGCATACCTTAAAAGATCAGTCATGATTTTTATACTTTTGTAAAACGAGTACAAAGTAATCAGTATTGTATTGAAAGCTTTGGGTCATTAAAGACTGGGAAAACAGCTCAGCACACTAAAGAAATATGAACATAGTTCAAAATGTTGACTTCATTTAATATGTCAATATATTCATAATGGTCTTGAACTTTCAGACGGAACTTTGCCATAAATGACTGAACTTACAGCAATATGTTACTAATCCATCTGACTAACAGGTGAACTGAAATATTTGAAAAACCATACCAAAAATAAACTTTTTAAGATTTCCCAAGAAACATACCAGAAAAGAAAGTTAATAAGAATAGTAATGATACTGTAACTGGAGTCCTAGTGGGGGCCAGTTATGGTCACTCAATTAGGGTGAACTGCAAACAATGAGGCAGCGAAACCCCAAAAAGCTGGTGGATATTCCAATACTTAGGTTTACCAAGCCAGTATAAAACAGCTTCTTTATTACCTTACTGGTTACTCAGAAGTCCAAACAACACAGTTCCCTTAAAGTGATCCAGCCTCAGGCCTCCATCCAGGTAACCACGTCAAATATGATGAAAATTTCTGTAAATCTTATTTCATCATATAAAAGAAAAGGTTCTACCAATCCCAAAGATCAGACACATTACCTCCCAGGTTAATGAATGTTTCAGATCTTACCCAAATACATGCTACAGACAATTCTTATTAACTAAACTAAATTTAGTAAAAAAAAAAGAAGAAAGTATGGTTAAAAGATCAATATACATAAAGACATGAGGTCAATTCATTTAGGGGCAGATTAGTTGCAAAGAGTTCTTTCAGAAATAGTTCATATTTATAGTCCAGTGTCCAAGAATAATATTCAGGGCATCCCAGCATAACTGGGACCTCAGTCTTGTGACTCAAACTTTCCCTGATGAAGCCTAAGCAGATCTGAGATGACAGAATCAGGATGCAAGGATCTTTTATACAATTTCATGTCTTTTGACAAGTTGGAGTTCCTCAGAGAACAAAAGGTAATTAGGATGACTCTGAAGGAGGTCCATCACCGATACTTTGCTATACGAATTAACATTAGGCCATTTGCTTGTTCCTCCACCATTCACAGTACATTTCAAAGAGGGATGAATACTGAGATAGCCCATGTTTACAATTCATTTAAATGTTAGGATCTTCTTTGACCTCTGAATTATCACAATACAGCATAGATAGGGACTGTTGATTATATTGTGACCCTACTCATACATATGTAAATAGACAAAAACACAAACATTATCTCCCCACATGTCTTTTGAGCGTTATTTATTTTGAAGGATTTTTAACCCTTTCTAGCCATGCGTCACAGATACATTTAAATTTTTTTTTGTCTTATAGTAGCAATAGTAACAACCACAATGCAGTTTATCTACTGGGGATTAATAGCTAGCTGGCTTTAGTGGTCTGAGGTTAGACCAAAGGATGCCCTCAATTCGCCTCTACTGGACATTTATTACCAGGAAATGCCCTGCAATTGTGTTATTGCTCAAAGAATGGATCCTCATAGCCTTACTCATATTGAGAAGCATCTTATTTTGAGTATTTCTACTGAAGTTGGTATTGCGTAGTCAATAGTACTGTTTCTGAAGAAAGTTGCTACCCAAAATGAAAAAGTATATCAGAATCTGACCCTAAGTCATCAGACCAGAAATTATAACTTGCCAGCACCATTATGGCTCTATTTACTGATTCATATAATCACATTTTACCACATGTGGAGGAGAAACCTCTTTTCTTCTACGGATGTATGTTCCAGTAGCAATACTAAGCGCTCGGTAGACTCCCTCAACAGCATCAGGATGTGAAGCAAAATAAAGCAGCATCTTAGTGTAGTCAAGTTGAGAGGGATCTTTTCTGGCATCAGCAAATAAAATAAAGAAAAACTAGAAAAGGAAAAACATTTAAATTAATTCCTGCAAAGGATATTTGGCCAATTTAAATCAAAAGTCTATAGAGAACAGGATTAAATGTATATGCAAGGTAGCGACTGCTGAAGAGAAATATAGTTTCAGAAAGAGTGTTGAGATCCTATGGGAAAAATCAAGAAAATCTACATTATAATATTTTGTTTTCAGCAGTGAGGATTCTCAAAGAACCAGTAGGAATCTGTAAAATCTCACAAAAAAGTTATGACATTTTACCTCTTCTTTATACATACACTGTGTCTCTCTCTGTGACTATATACACTATATTTAAAATTAATGGGTGCAAGATTCATCTTTCTATTCTCAGGTTTTTCTTATTTTTTATTGTAAGTAGGTTTTTTTTCCTTTCTTAAAAAAAGTTATTTACTCAAAACTATTTACTCAAAACTATTGCTTCCAAAAGTTGTGTTAATTATCATGTTTATACATGCACCAATTATTTATGCACCAATAATTTGTTGCACAGCTCCCTTCATCAATAATAAAATGTATTCACCACAAACTATACTGCAAACAGTATCCTCAAATAGGTGTCAAATTGGAAAAAACAGTGATAGTCTTCCAATGTCTTATGTAAAATTAAGTGCTGCCCAGTCCTGACACCAACATGAGCATTCATAGTAGCTTCTACAGAAAGGATTGTCTCTTTTTGTGTGTGTGCTGTAATGAGTAGTGACCATTAGATAATCTAGTCTGTATATCACCAGCCATTAAATTTCAACCAGTTACCATTATGTTAAGATCAATAACTTGGGTTAGACTAAAGCATTTCAACCCTCAGGGACTAAACTGCTGTGTGCCAGAGGCAAAAGACAGGGGATACGGAGGTGCCAGCAATGTCTGAGGCCCTTGCAATAAATTGTCATAATTAGGTTTAGGAATGAACAAAGCATTGAGGTACATGGGATTGTTTTTTTTCCTCTCACAGCTACTGTTTAAGGCTGTCTGCAGATTGAACCAGGCATCACTGTGTCACTTTATACCCAATTTACACTTTGAAGTGGTTGGTTTTTTTTTTTTTTGCAAATTTAAGGGCTAGAGCTTGGGCTAAGGTGTCAAAAATGGGTGCCTAAAGTTATGCTATTAAATACCCCTTTAGCTGCCTAAATACAAACTGATTTTCAAACGTTTTGAGCATCAAGTGGTTCTGACTGATTTCCCTTTGATTTAGGTGCCTAAATATGGATTCAGAAGTCTAACGTTAGATACCCAGTTTTTTAAATCTTGGACTTAATTTTTAATAAATGAAAGCTTAGATTCTGGAGCATAAGATGGCAGCCACCACAAAAAAATACTGATTCAATGAGCCATTGTTATTCAGCTCAATTCAATTCCTTATTATATTTTCATTACTGTTATTTAACACTTGTATTGTGCAATTGCTTAGAGTCCTCAACCAGGTCAGGGCCCTGTTGTGATAGACACTGTACGGACGTACAGTAAATGACAGTCCCTGCCTCAGAGTGTTTAAAGTCTAAAAGACAAGACCTAGCAAAAGTAGAGAGACAAACAAGTGCGCCAGAGTGTTTGGAAGAAGTAACAAAAATAATAGGATGTCACTATACAGATTAACTGTGTGCACAATTCTTAGCCAATCATTAGCAGATCTTTAGACTCAAATGTTTTTCCACAGGTAACTCGTTATCAGTGATAGCTGTGGTCATTTATGACTCAACTGCTCCCAAGATCTTCTTTTATAGTTTTCTGGGAAGAAATAATGGTTAGGTAAAATAAGTAGGCATTAACATTGCAAAAGAAGAGGTCATGCAAACTGAGAAAAAGGACCATTGTGTTAAAAATGACAAATGATACCTTAATTTCTTTACAGTTTTCAATAGTTACCATTATAAGATGCTCCTGTCTATTAAAAGGCAAAGGCTCTGTAGGATTTTCTGGCATTTTAAAATCTTCACTGCCTTTAAACCATAAACCAACCTAAAAAAAAAAGTTACTGATTTTCATCCCCCTAAAAAAAAAGGGACTGGACTGTTCCGTTCTAAAATCACAGAAAGAGCTAGGTTAACAAAGTATAAAATCTGTCTCTGCATTTATTCAAGTTCAGAATTTGTTGTTTTAAGTAAAAATCTGCTTAATATGAATAATTTAATTAGGTACTTGGACACTTTGCAACAAACTCTTTTCATGAGCAAGTAAATACTGAATGTTATGGTAGCAACTCAAACCTTATACTGCTACTATCTACATAAGAATGAATTTATATCTAGAGATTCCCCTGAAAATACCAAGCACTGAAACTTTATTCTTTTTTCCTATACCTAGGGGTCAATTGTGGATTTACTAAATGCCTCTTCATATAGTTGCACTACCCCAGGAGCAGACTAGGAAGCTGATTGTGATGCAGAATTGCAATCTGCCTCCTGGTTTCCCCCTTTACCAAATGAGGTGTGTCCTTTGCTAGCCCTATAACTGACACACTGTACATCCTCCTGATGCCCTCATAAAACTGTGCTGGCTGGGATTTTGGGAGGCAGAGGCAAGGCTTCTCATTCCTGCCTCGCTCTCTGTCCATACACTGAGGGTAGGTGCCCATAATGGCCTAAGGAGGTCAGCAGCAAGAAGTGGACACCTTATAAGCCATTCCTCTCCTGCATGGACATGCAGGGCAAGCCACAATCTAGTCCCTACTTGTTATAGAACAAAACTTGCACCTTTTATTTAGGCAAAATTCCCATCGTTATCATTTTAAAATTCATTTTGGTCAGTAGCCTGTTTATGGAAAATGTGTGTGCATATAGATATAATGTAAGAATATTCTTGTTTTTATTCTCACTGAGGTTTATTTTTTCATAGTTTGCTTCTTGGAATAGCAACATATAGAGTAAATAAATATGATTGTCATGACATTGTGAGTATGAAATAGAGAATGAACCTTGTTTAAACTTTTATAAACCTTATTTTAAATTAAAAATAATACTCTTAATATATTTCTCATTGGATTAATAGAACAATATGGGCATTTTCAAGCCGTTTAAATAATACCTGTAAATTTTCAGAAATGTTGACAAAAGACTGTATAGCCTATCAATGTATACACTGAGTTCAAATCCTATTGGGACTGTTTTTTAATTAAAACTTCTTCATGTCCTTTTCTCCCCTTTTAGGTGAATCATTACCTTTTCCACCATTCACAACATACAATACTCTGCATTTTAATACAAATATTTTTGCAAGAGTCAGATTTAATATACAGTATTAAGCTGTTTTTTCAAAAACACAGGAAGTGCCAAGAGAATTTCAGAGGGGAAAAATTGTTAAAATAGGTTTTTGTACTGGATGCTTTCTACAGACAGGTTAGTAGGGAGAATTCAGCAGATAATTTAGAGATTAAGTGGATTTTCATGTTAGCTGTGCAGGTCCTCCTTAACAAACAGTTCAGTGGCTTTTCTTTACACATAACACATCCTTACATGGCTGAACTGCTCTTTTACCAACTCTGTGCTATTGCTCTTTTCTTACTTTCCGGACTGTAACTACTGACTCATTAACCCTATAGTGCATTCTGTTCTACAGATGACTCGGTAATTCTACATCAAAGAGTTAAACATGTAAAAGTGACTAAACAGCTGTAAATGTCACAGAGAAGGATATGAAGTTTGTAAAGGGTAGCTTTAAATACAGTGAGGCAAATTCTGACTTCCATTTCCCCATACAATCCCATTGATTTCAATATAGTTTCAAGATGTAACTGAGAGCAGAAATGCCTATTAATTTCAAACTTTGTCTGTCAGGAGAGTTGTGCGTTGGTTTTCATAAGTCTGAAAAGATCCTGGTTACATTTTCTCCCATGCGTATTTATGTTGTAAAATTACAATAATTGCAATATACAGTGCTGTCAGTTAAAATTATTGGATCTCTGTGGTATGATTTGTGGTATCCTAAAGGTTTTTGGAGGTGTTCTGCAGAATTAAATAGACTTTGGGTAAAGTTTTCAAAAGTAGTTAAGTAATGAAGCCTAAGTTCCATTTTCAAAAGTGACTTAGGTAGTTAGGAGTCTGGTTCCGACTTTTGATGAGACTGAGGTGCCACAGTCACTTAGGGTATATGTGCACTGCAATTAGACACCCGCAGCTGGCCTGTGCCAGCTGATTTTGGGCTCTAATCTTTCCATGCCTATATACAACCATAGTATTTACTGATGAATAGCTATTGGTCTGTGCTATGTTCTCTGCAATAGAAAAGTGAGACAGGTGGAATCTAGATCTGGAATAACACCTCTTTACCTCTTAGCAGAACATTTTATAGCACTGACATATTAATTAATTGAGCTACATTTCTTAAGGGATTTAAAAAAAAATCTCCAAAGATCATTCCATGCAAGAAAGTACTTGGTGGAAGGGAGAGGAAAGATGAGAATGCTACATTTTTAGCACTAAATTATAACAGTCTTATCCTTTGTAAAGAATACCGTCTTACCTCAGTAAACTTAGTTTTGTTTTGCTAGTTCAGACACATTGATATGGTTGCAGGGCAACTGCTAGAATGTTCATACTTCATAGCATTCATATCAGATGCTGAGTTAAAAGGATGTTCAAACTAGCATCCTGTGTCAAAAATGCTGCATTAACATTCTGTTGACTTTGGAGCTGTTGGTATATTTTTAATCTCTAGTACCTCAGTGAAAAATACCACAATAATGTGTAGGTGGGTGCAACATCTATAGCTACACCTTTTTGTGGCTTTTCCAGCTCTGGCAGGGTTAGTTTCTTTTCAAATGTCTTGGGACACTTGCTGTTGGAAGGTAGTTGGATCGGTGAGACTTTGGAGACAGAAATTCTGAAAATCACAGGCTTCTGGAATTATATTGCCAACATTTAATTTTGCAAGAGGAGCAGTATAGTTGCCTGTGAAAGGCAGCTGCTACCTTCCCCAAAATTCTTTTACTTTCATGAAACCTCCCTTCCCAAAAACCTTGCTGAACTGTGCAAAACAAAGACCCAAATTAAAATTTTCTTATGTATTTGAACCAAAGAATCTTGTAATTTCCCACTCACGGCAGGATGAAAAATCAATCTTCATTTGCAAAAATTGTTTATTTAACTAAGTAAAGATAAAATTACAGATATTTTACAGCCAAAGTAGAGCTGTCAAAAACAAACAAAAAATCTGGATAAATTAAAAAGAACAAATAACAAGAATCAAATAACAGTTTATCAGTTTCTGATTCTCTAGAACAGGAGGATTTTTGTTAGAAACTAGTTCCCAAGGAAAGAGAGAAATTAATGTACAGAGTTCACCTAATTAATCTGATTCTTGTTATTAAAAACTGTGGATGGGATTTGCAAATATTGGTCTCAATCTAGCAAAGTTTCTTTTTTTTCTCTGTATAAGACAAGTTACACCAAAAGGGATCCCCAAAATACCAAAACCATTAAAATTCAGACTGAGTTTATAAAACTAAATGAACAAAACTAATAATACACCTTTTGATTAAAAAATAATATTATTCAAAAGAAGAAACAATTATAACCTGATTATAGTATTCCTGTGTAACAAAGCCTGATCCAGCTTCATCAACAGCCTTAAAGCTGTGCAGGGTATTAAGGAGCTGTATCACAGAGGGAACTGGCCATGGTTGAGCTGCTGTTAATAAGAATCTGCGCCAATCAATAAATTCTGAGTTCACCATTAATGTAGTTGCCAGATTTTGTAACTATAAAAATAAAATTATAAATAGTTTGGACTACAGTTGTGTGTAAGAATATACATTTCTTACATAATTAAAATAAAGCACAATACAATTTTATACAATTTTACAGAAGGAATTTTCTTAACTCTGACAGAAAGATAGCCATCAAACTCTGACTCTCCACTTTTAGACACTTAGCATCAGACTGTGCCATGTCTTAATGTGGTTGCACAGGTGAGTAAGATAACCCCTCAGAGCCTGAACAGTCATTTTAGGCATCCTTAGACCTTGAGTCCCCCAGCAAGATGAAAGCTGTGTACTTGGTACTCCCCTCTAAGATGGTGGATGGGGAGGAGTACATGGATCCTCGGTTCTGTTCATACCCACAGACAAGTCAATTATTATCTATTCGCAGTAGTGTCCACTATGTGTAAGGCAAAGAGGGGAATATATTGCACCTAGTAAAGGGCTCCCCAGTAGGAGTAAGATCCTTCTCCTAACTTCCTAAGAAACTGGATTTGTAGCCTTACAGCATCATCTCCCAGTTCAAGTCATCACTGAGGTCTCCTGCAGTGAGATTTCTAAAATAGATGATGGGCTGAGGGTTCTTCCTATTTCTTCTTGGAGATGAGGTTTTCACTGTATTTCACCAAACAAGCAGCAGTGTCTAGGGGTGCATTTTAATGAAAGCCTGGTTTGTGAAATCTAACACCTGTAAGGACTAAAGATACTTAAGAATGTGTGGTGGGATACATAAATAGATACACATTTTATATTAGTGATGAAAGTAATCCTCCATTCAGCCTGCATGCATGTCAACTACTAACAACACTAACTACAACTACTAACAACAAACTGGACATCTGACTCATATTCTTTCTATTTAATTTCTTTACTATGCAAAAAATAGAGATTTATGGCCTGATTGCAAGAAGTACTGAGCATCTGCAATTCCAATTTAAGTCAATGGGAGGTCCTGTTGCTCAGAACCTTTTGGGACTGATCCGGTACTCAGTGAAATTCACCCATGTGCAAAGAGCCCACACAAAGTTCTCTGTACCACTTAAGTCCCAATTAAAGCCTTAATGTTAATCCTCTTTCACTGTAAGTGCAATTCATCCTCTGAGAGTAAGCCTTTTCCTAGAAGAATCCAAGTTTGTTAAATCTGGTAATTCTCCTTATCCCATAGTCTTGGATACATGTGCTGTTAATAAAAACATAATCATTTGAAAAATTTAATGTTAACACAGAAAATTCAAGAATCTTGGAGAAACATATTTAACACTATGCAGGTCCAACATCTGCCTACTTATTCCCATATCTTGGATTTGCAGTTCAATAAAAAGCAAAGATGGTCTTGTGGTTAAGCAGTGGATTGACTCAGGAGATGTACGTTCTATTTGCAGCTCTGCCATTGAGTCTACTTCAGTCTTGGGCAACTACTTAATGTCAGTGTTTCTCAGTTCCCCCTCTGGAGATAACCCCTATCCCCACAGTGGTGTTGTGAGAATAAATTAATTAATGTCTGAAACGCTCATATACTATAAGTGAGAAAAGCATAAATAAATAGAGTAGTAAAATACGGATTTAAATCTTGTAATTGCTGCATTCACAAACGTACTCTTATAGAAAGTAATTGATGGGAATAACAACTGGGAAGGCCCTTTAAAATTATTTGTTTTGCTTCCTTATGGTAAGAATAGGGCCACATTTACTATGTATAGCCCAGAACTGCATATTCACGTGCCAAGCTGGCAAAATATTCAAGTGATGAGATCTACAGAAATGAAAACAGGAATTAAAACTTACATCTGAAACTGTGAGGCGCATCCATACATCAGGAAGGCTGTTTGTTCCAAGGTTCAAAGTAATCAAATCAAGAAGAATGTCAATAAATATTTTATTTGATATTAAACCTAGTGAAAAAATAAAAATGTGTCAAATGGATAGCAAAAGACATTTTTGCAATTTCTGAATGGGAATATTGGTATAAAATAAACTATATTTCTAGTATTTACTTTCTATGATTATAGAAAAATTACTTGTACTGTCAGTGTAGTTCACAAAAGGCAGTAGTATCCTCTGTTCCAACGCCTACATTTTTATATATAAAATATACACATGTTCTGAATTACACCACATGTATGGTCCTGATAACCCATTTTATAGGTTTATCTGATAAACTTCAGAACCATATGATAAATTGCATTTGTTTTGCCTGTTTGACCTCTTCGCCTGTACTATGATCACTAAATCCATCTTTGACTAGATTACAGTTAATAAGTAGAGAGGCGACCACAAATGCTAGCTGCCACACACCAACCTAGTTTTGTATATGAATATAACCATCACTACCAATGCTTTCTTTTTGATTCATAAGACCTTCATTCTTCAGTTTAGGTTAATTAGAAAACATCAGATGCTTACTCTTGAAAGCAAGTAGATATGAGAGTGTGGAACTTTAGAGGAGACCACAATACATTTGCAGAAAATTCCAGTGACAGTTAATTAATTTAACTTTATTTCAAAATAAAAATTCTTTATGAAAGCCCAGCTTTTGAAAATTGTAGATATCTAATGCAAAGAAGTTTTCTAATGAAATTAAAAGAAAAAAATTACTATATGTCTATTTATCTTTGATAAACAAGTAGGTACTTTTATTTGAATAAATAGAAAATTGAGATTATATGCAAAAATGTCACATGTAAAAAAGGAAAACTGTGGTTGCTGAGGTAAATAAAACAGATGAATTGAGCCCCTCAGTTTAAAGTTGGATTTTGAGACACAGACAAGCTAGATTAGGGTTTATTGTGCAATCACTGTTAAACCAATAAAGTTTAAAATATGGAGTGAGCCTCATATGACTACAGTTTTGAGAGGCAAAACTGATCTTTGTCTGGCTGGTATTACTGCCATGCTTCTAGAAGACTAGATTTTAATAGGGCCTCTAAGTGACATCTTCACCAAACACCATCAGAAAAATAGCTATTTCCTTAAGTTTCTCTTAGCTCTGGTCTACACTACGGGGTTAGGTCGAATTTAGCCGCATTAGGTCAATTTTAAAATGAATTCATCTACAGGGCCAGCTCCAGGGTTTTGGCCGCCCCAAGCAGCCAAATAAATAAAAGCCGCAATCGCGATCTGTGGCAGCAATTCAGCGGAAGGTCCTTTGCTCCGAGCGGGAGTGAGGGACCGTCCGCCGAATTGCCGCCGAATAGCTGGACCTGATGCCCCTCTCCGGAGTGGCCACCCCAAGCACCTGCTTGCCAAGCTGGTGCCTGGAGCCGGCCCTGTTCGTCTACACAACCAACCTAAAGGGCTCATAAAATCGACTTGTGTACTCCTCCCCGGCGAGGGGAGTAGCGCTAAAATCGACCTTGCTGGGTCGAATTTGGGTAGTGCGGACGCAATTCGATGGTATTGGCCTCCGGGAGCTATCCCAGAGTGCACCAATGTGACCGCTCTGGACAGCACTTTGAACTCTGATGCACTAGCCAGGTACATAGGAAAAGCCCCAGGAAATTTAGAATTTCATTTCTTGTTTGGTCAGCATGGCGAGCTCAGCAGTACAGGTGACCATGCAGTCTCCCCAGAATCGCAAACGAGCTCCAGCATGGACCAAAAGGAAGACACTGGATCTGATTGCTGTATGGGGAGAAGAATCTGTGCAGGCCGCACTCCGATCAAAAAGAAGAAATGCTAATATATATGCCAAAATTGCACAGAGCATGGTGGACAAAGGCTACAACAGGGACACATAGCAGTGCCACGTGAAAGTTAAGGAGCTCAGGCAAGCCTACCAAAAGACAAAGGAGGCAAATGGTCACTCCGGGTCAGAGCCCCATACATGCCGCTTCTATGATCAGCTGCATGGCATTCTAGGGGGGGACCCTACCACTACCCCACCACTGTCTGTGGACACCTGCAAGGGGGGAATCTCACGCAACAAGGAGGAGGATTTTGTGGATGAGGAAGAGGAGGAGGAGGAGAATGCGCAGCAGGCAAGCGGTGAATCCGTTCTCCCCAGCAGCAAGGACCTTTTCATCACCCTGGAGCCAATACCCTCCCAAGGCGGGATCCCTGACCCTGAAGCAGAGAAGGCACCTTTGGTGAGTGCACATTTGTAACTACAGTACAGGGTTTAAAAGTAATAGTGTTTAATGTTTGATTTGTCCTGAAGAATTGGGATGCATTCGCCGCCCGTACAGCTACTGGAAAAGTCTGTTAATGTGTCTGGGGATGGAGTGGGAATCCTCCAGGGACATCTCCATGAAGCTCTCCTGGAGGTACTCTGAAAGCTTTTGCAGAAGGTTTCTGGGGAGGGCTGCCTTATTTCATCCTCCATGGTAGGACACTTTACCACGCCAAGCCAGTAGCAAGTAGTCTGGAACCATTGCAGCACAAAGCATGGCAGCGAATGGTCCTGGATTTTGGTCGCATTCAAGCAACATTCGATCTATATCTTTCTGTGTTAGCCTCAGGAGAGTGATATCATTCATGGTCACCTGGTTGAAATAGGGGAATTTTTGTAAGGGAACAGTAAAAGGACCCCGTTCATGCTGGGCTGTTTGCGCTTGGCTAAAAGGGATCACCCTGGAGAATAGCCACACGGTGGGGGGAGGGGTGAAGGGATCATCCCAGAGAATAGCCACGCGGTGGATTGGGGGGAGGTGTGTGTTGCACATCTACCCGAAAACCGCAACCCCTCCTTTTAAATGTGAAACACAACCAGCATTGCTTGCTATGGGAAAGGAGGGCACTGCAGTTTGAAACCATTCCCACGTGTTATGAAAGCGTAAGAAGCCAACCCCGCGTACTCTTTGGCTTACTATGGGTGCCTGGAAACCGAATTCTGTTGCCCAGCCATGTGTGATGTGTCACCATAGTGGCAGAAGCTCAATATAAAAGGCAAAATGCGACCTTGTACCTAAAGCACATGTGCTATCTGCTGTGAATTGCTTGATTCACTGTGAAAGAGTCTCCCTTTTGTTCTCAGAAATGTATCATCTTAAATTTTACTCTCCCTTTTTATCCCCCTGCAGGTGCAAATGTTTCTACACTCCCCCTATCATCTTCGTCCCTGAGATTATCACAGATTAGAAGGCGAAAAAAACCGCACTCACGATGACATGTTTTTTGAGCTCATGCAGTCCTCCCACACTGATAGGGCACAGTTTAATGCATGGAGGCATTCAGTGGCAGAGGCCAGGAAAGCATTAAGTTAGCACGATGAGCAGAGGCAGGAGGCGATGCTGAAACTAATGGGGGAGCAAACGGACATGATGAGGCATCTGGTGGAGCTTCAGGAAAGCCAACAAGAGCACAGACTGCCCCTGCATCCACTGTATAACCGCCTGCCCGCCTCCCCTTCCATATCCACCTCACCCAGATGCCCAAGAACGAGGGGGAGGGGAGGGAAGCCCAGGCACTCAGCCACTCCACTCCAGAGGATGGCCCAAGCAACAGAAGGCTGTCATTCAAACAGTTTTGATTTGTAGTGTGGCTACAATAAGCAATGTGGCCTTGTCCTTCCCTCCTCCCCCACCCCACCTGGGCTACCTTGTCAGTTATCTCACTTTTTTTTTAATTAATAAAGAATGCATGGTTTCAAAACAATAGTTACTTTATTTCCTTTGCCAGCTGTGATCGAAGGGGGGAGGGTGGTTGGCTTACAGGGAATTAAAATCAACAAAGGGGGCGAGTTTGCATCAAGGAGAAACACACACAACTGTCACACCATAGCCTGGCCAGTCATGAAACTGGTTTTCAAAGCCTCTCTGGCGTGCTCTTCTAATCGCCCTGGTGTCTGGCTACTCAAAATCAGCCGCCAGGCGATTTGCTTCAACGCCCCACCCCACCATCAACATCTCCCCCATACTCTCACAGATATTACAAAGCACATAGCAAGCAGCAATAACAATGAGAATATTGGTTGTGCTGAGGTCTAACCTAGTCAGCAAACAGCGCCAGCGAGCTTTTCATAGAATCAGGGTTGGAAGGGACCTCAGGAGGTCATCTAGTCCAACCCCCTGCTCAAAGCAGGACCAATCCCCAACTAAATAAAAAAAAAAGGCTGCCCCGAGCCCTCCTCTCCTACAAGGGGAAGGCAAGGGAGGGGAGCATTTAAAGGGACAGTGCCTGCTCTAGTTAGGCCTCCAGCTGAGCTCCCCTTTAACCTTGTGTATTGTTAGCGGGACACATGGGGCTGATTCCTCCAGTGCAATTTATGAACGTCCAATTTTTAAACGTCCAAAGGCACATTCTACCACCATTCTGAACTTGCTCAGCCTATCGTTGAACTGCTCCTTACTACTGACCAGGCTGCCTGTGTATGGCTTCATGAGCCATGGGAGCAAGGGATAGGCTGGGTCCCCAAGGATAACTATTGGCATTTCAACATTTCCAACGGTAATTTTCTGGTCTGAGAAGTAAGTCCCTTCTTGCAGCTGCTCGAACAGCCCGGAGTTCCTAAAGATGTGAGCGTCATGCACCTTTCCTGGCCGTCCCATATTGATGTCGGTGAAACATCCATTGTGAGCCACCAGTGCTTGCAGCACCATTAAGAAGTACCCCTTGCGGTTTACGTACTGGTTGGCAAGGTGGTCCGGTGCCAAGATAGGGATATGCGTTCCGTCTATCACCCCACTACAGTTAGGAAACCCCATTGCAGCAAAGTCATCCAGTATGACCTGCACATTTCCCAGAGTCACTATCCTTGATAACTGAACGTCCGTGATTGCACTGGCTACTTGGATCACAGCAGTCCCCACAGTAGATTTGCCCACCCCAAGTTGATTCCCAACTGACTGGTAGCAGTCAGGCGTTGCAAGCTTCCACAGGGTTATCGCCACTCACTTCTCAACTGTCAGGGCAGCTCTCATCTTGGTATTCCTGTGCTTCAGGGCGGGGGAAAGCAACTCACAAAGTTCAAGGAAAGTGGCCTTATGCATGCGAAAGTTTCGCAGCCACTGTGAATCATTCCATACTTGTAACACTACGCAGTCCCACCAGTCTGTGCTTGATTGCCGGGCCCAGAATCAGTGTTCCACTGTATCAACCAGCCCCACTGCCGCCATGATGTCCCAATTGCCACAACCTGTGCTTTCAGGAACATTTGTGTCCATGTCCTCCTCACAATCATCCTTGTGCTGGCATCTCTTAGCCAGGTTCTACACATACTGCAGGATAATGCGCGAGGTGTTGAAATGCTCACAACAGCAGCAGTGAGCTGAGCAGGCTCCATGTTTGCCATACTATGGCACCTGCATGGGTAACCCAGGAAAAAAGGCGCAAAACAATTGTCTGCCATTGCTTTCATGGAGGGAGGGAGGGGAGACTGACAACATGTACTCAGAACCACCCGCAACAATTTTTTTTGCCCCATCAGGCATTGGGAGCTTAACCCAGAATTCCAATGGGCAGCAGAGACTGCGGGAATTGTGGGATAGCTACCCACAGTGCACCGCTCCATGAGTCAATGCTAGCCACGGTATTGAGGACGCACTCCGCCGACTTAATGTGCTTAGTGGGGGACGTACACAATCTACTGTATAAAATTGATTTCTAAAGATCGACCTAATTTTGTAGTGTAGACATACCCTTAG